CTAATTTTATCCATATGCTCTTAAGACGGGAATATAGCATGCTCTTAGCATGGGTCCACAGAAGCAAATCCTGTCCTTCTGTAATCCAAACTGAACTGCGAGCAAGTTTCTAATGGAATTTTACAGCATAAAAGAACATCATGAGAAACACATCTCATAGCTAAACAGAAATCTGTCTGAACACTATGAAAGCCAAAATCCTACCTGGTTATAGTAAAGAAATTACTTGTGATATAATTAGGTAGGTTTTAGTTTGTTTTCATAATTCTGATCTGACTGCAATTCTGAAAAAAAACCCACTTCAACATGTCTCCAGAAGTGTTCTGCTATATAATCATCAAAGATAAAACCGTCAGCTTCAGTGATATGCAAATGAAGACATGTTTGTTAAAAGGATTAACAAAGTTGTTCAAAGCATCTTTTTAGTCTACTCTGCTTCCAAACAAACAATAAACTGTCTGCATGCAGTGAGATTTGCTAACCCATAAACATAGCCAAATGGAGGAAGAAGATCAGAACCTTAATGAGTTTGGTCCCCTTTGAATTTTAGCTGATCAGTGTCACCAATAATTTCAACAGGCTCTAAAATAAGCACTTTCTGTCTTCAAAGTGCCTTGCAAACATCAACCAATTAATCCCTACAACTCTCCTCTGAGGTAGGTAAGTAGGTATTGTTATCCCCATTTTACAGTTGGGTGAACCCAGTCAGAAGGGTTAAGTGATTTGCTGCAGGCCACAGATGGAGGTGGGATTAAAACACAAGGGTGACTATGATGCCTTGTAGAGGACAGCACTTTTTTTTTCCTGCTGACTTTTCTGTGCTGACTTTAGACATCTTGGCCTTGTGGCAATACTTGAAGGAAACAAAACAAATTCTCCCTGTTAAAAGCAAGGAACCGTAAAGAAATCTGTCTTTTACACCAGTGTTGATAACATTTTTGTTGCCTTATACTGATGTAAGGCTTTTCCTTTAATTTTGTTCTGATATTCAAGTATCATTCCTTTCATACAGGGACTTATTCCTGTGGTAATGTAACGTGCTACCAATTGAAAGATACGTCCTGCTCCTTTGCAGATTTTATTTTGTCTTTCTGCTTTCAAATCAGTAAATTTAGGTGGCGCCCTGCCCATAAGGTGGGCAGACACTCTCCTTCCAGGACTAGGGTAACAGTTGGTAGACTTGTTCCACTGCAGCGCAGGCAGAAAGAAACCGAGACAGGGAGCTTTGAGAACCAAGAGCAAAGAAAGCCATTAACTGAAACCCAACTCCAGCAAACCACTTGTAACCATTCTAACAGGCGTAAGATTGATACCTTTCCCACTTCAACAGAAAGATCAGATGGAAAAGGCAGAGTATATCCTTTTCCTCTCTGTATGTATACAACTTCGGGCCACTGGAAGACCCATTTGTCACGAAGTCAATCCAGTCTATGGTAATAAACATTTGAGTTTTATGAGGAAACCACTTTTCATCTAGTGGCAAGCAAGTCCAAACCACCAGTTCCCTGGAGTATTTTTTAGAACAGAAAAATCCACTGCTCAGAGCTAATGTCTTGCAAATCCTGAGCACATTTTCTGTTATTTTTTCAGAAGACCCTTCCCCCACTTTCAGAAGCCTTCCTGTACAGGAATTGACATGTACAGAGAAAATAATTTGAAAATATTTGAAAATTATTCACTCCTTACTATGTAGTACAGTAATTTCAGCCATATCGCTGGTTATGTATTTTTAAGACACAATCATCTATGTGTCCTGAAAGGATAGCTCCATTAATGCTAAAAAATAAGGAATAGTTTATTAATATACCATTGTAATTAATACACTGCAGTGGTATTCATATATTACACAAACCAGGGATCATATCTCCTTTGTGTTAGGTGCCACCCACAGACAATGGTGTCATCAGACTTTTATTAGCTAGAAGTTTACTTTGTTAAAGAAAGACACTCGTGAAGCCTTCAGATTAAGGAAATCATTTAACATAGTTAAATAAAATGCAATTTATTTTTCTACTTCTGTGGATACTGAATCAAAAGGGTATTTTTCCCATTAGAAAGGTTTATTAGAAACTATTTTGCTCTTACATGACCAGCACTTATGTCTCTTTTTAGAAGACAAAAAAATAGGTTAATGATTCACAACCTGAGGAATTGTATTGTTAGCATAACAGCGTAAGAACACGTAGGATTTTGAATCTCAGAGGGCATGTTTTCAGTAACAAAAATATGTATTACATGGGTTAGGAAAGGTCTGATTTTCACAGTAATTCTGTGACCAGAAAAACATGCAATGCAAAACATAAGCTTGGAAATTGCTATTTGTTAGCTCCATCTTAAGAAGATTTGTAGCTAACTCTGAATTACATGCTCTGCAGAAACAGCTCCCTGCTTTTATCACTTTGGAAATCATTAACTTGCCCTCGATGGTTCCCGTGCAACAAAGGAAGTTTTCACATGGATTTTCTGATAGGAGAAACAAAAGAGATCGTAGATAACAAAATAGCAGTGTGAATGATAGTTTTAGAGGACCTTCATCCAAACACATTTCAGTGACATCTCATCAGATAGGGTATCAATCCCCAAATTTCCCACCACTCAGCACTACCATGCTTCAGGGCTAACCCATGGAACTAGATCATTCCTCGGTTCCAAATTTGTTATGTTATCTATGAACACAAATAACTGAGTCACTGTCCCATATCCCATTAATTAACGAAATCAATTTTCACGTAATACGCTTTGCTGTTACGGGTCTATCTGCACAGTAAAACGGAGGTGTGATAACACTTGCCTACTTGGGCTGTAATTACACTTGCAGTTCTGTGCATCCATACCCCACATGTCAATGCACTCCGTGCTATCCAGCCCAATAAATAACCAACCAACTCTCAAACTTGTCAAATAGCTCTAGAGTTCATGTACATATATATTTTTTTTCCTCATCTGCAACCATTGCCACAAGCCACCTGCACTGCAAGCATATTTTAATGTCCTGCACTGCATACACAGAGAAGGAGCAGTGTTTAATCTTCTATGCCCCTCTGAGATGAGAATATGTTCTCCATAAAAATACATCTGTCGCCCGTATGAAATTCTGGCAAGGTAGGATCCAATTTCTCCTAAAAGTTCATCTCCCCTATATGCAGCTCCATGTCCCGATTAGTTGTTTACCACCTGTTCAATATGCATATTTCTGAAAATCTGGTTCACATGTTTGCAAGTTCAGTAGGCTGGAGAGCTTTTCAAGCAGCATACCCTTGCTGGAAACTGCACACCAATTGCTGGTGCCATGAGCTGGGCATCCTCCATAAGTGAAAAAGTGAAAGGCGATTATATAGACATGATCCTACTCATCCATATATAAAAATCCCTCATCCGCTCATTTACCTGCCTGGTCATCTAACGTTGGGCTGCAGATTACTTGGGGCATGTGTTTTCCTATTTGTATGTCTAGAAAGTACTGAACACATCACAGGTTCTATGGAAAATAAGGAACGGATAGCAATAATTATAATTTTGTCACACTTGTTTTTAAAGAAGTTCAGCAGAGAAGAATTACGGTAACGTAAGGCTAGGATTAGTATCTAAAAATGGGGATTCAGTAGAAGATTTTTTTATTTCTATAGAATTCTAGCATGGTACCCCTCTCAAATTTTTCTGGATATAAACTCAAAGTCGATACTGAGTTTTCTGAAGACTGCTAATTCCTGAGTTATAACCAATTAAAGTTTGCTTTTAATGCAACTTGTATGCGATATTCCAGACCTGCTAACAAAACATTAATTACTATCAAATTACGATGTAGTTAAAGTACGTAATCACATTATAGGTCATGTTTTTAACAAAAAGAAAGATAATCAGTGTTATTAACCATAACCAAACTCGTACTCCCTGTAGTGCATGAGAAGGAGTTCTAGAGCTTTTAGGGGAAGAGTCAGAGAGTGACTCTTGTCAAATACCTGGAAATAACCTTTGCATCTAAAACTGGTGGCTAACTTGGAGCATGCAAACTGGTAATAGGGGCATTTAAGAATAAAGCTTTTGTCAAACTTTCATTTTATTCATCCCTTGAGGCTACCAGGGTAATCTGAGCATATTGTTATTACCTAAAGCATGCCCTTCTCCCTTATTCTTCTTTCCACTCTAAATGCCAACTGTAAAGAGTAAATCTATATAACTGACTCAATTGTTCCCAATACAGTTACTCACTATGGTGTGAGTTGTGAAATTGGGGGGGGGACATGATGACACACTATTCTAATCAAAATCTTTTCTGCAAATTAGTTTACCTGCATGAATATCAACAGTACTGAGACCCTAGAGACAACTGTAAAGGAAATCCATGATTCTGTTTTATTTTTCTTTATATTTGGGTTGGTTTTCCCTTGCAAACCTATTTTATGATCGCTATTTTTATCCTACACATACAATTTCAGGTTTTTCTCTTTTTTTTTTGATTATCCAGCTGCTGAAAACATCATTACTAAAGATATTCACCCTTCACATTTAAAAAACTAATTTACCAAGTTTGAGATTAAGGAGAAAGACAAGCAGCATTCCTGATATTAGTAGGCAAATGAAGAGCTCACTCTTTGCTATTTTTAGATGACAAGACATTGAGCATGCAAATCCATGGTTTTAAATGAAGTTGGCAGCACCACTCTTTTGACAATGTTTTTTCTTCCTGATTTCTATTGTTTCCTTAACACATTTCTTGTAATGTTCCAAAGCGTGTTGGAACAGTGAACCGTCATCATATCTCAGACATGCTGACGAAGCACCTGCAGCTCCTCATCAGATGTCTTCTCACCCAAAGCCGCAGACGCCAGAGGAGTTCAGGGGGCAACCTGCAGCCCACTCACCTTGCAGCCCCGAAAGGTCTGCAGAACCTCTCATCCCTCACTAAGGACCATCCCCTTGCTTCCTGCCTCTCCCAGTGCGCTCTCTCCTCAGCAGGGATGAGAGACAGCTCTGAGGACTGAGTTGACTATATTTTGAAGGGTACGCAGGACCTCCCCTCTTCCTCCCCCGTCGCGATTCCTGGACCGGTGACTTCACCCGGAGCTCGCCCGGGGTGCCCACGGCAACACGGGGCCCCACAACACACTTCAAAGGGTTTTCTTGAGGGGAAATTCAAAAACCCGCTTGTACGAACACATCAGTCGGAGGGTGGCAAATGCCCCCGTGAGGAGCAACGCCCCCGCGGGCACTTCGGGCAAGTGCAGTTCCCATGCCCCGGCGCTGCAGACAAAGAGCGGTCCGAGGCGGCCGCCCGGAGCCCGGGTGCGCGGTGACACCCGCCGGGGAGGAGCCAGGCGCGGGCTGC